GCAGAGCTCAGCCTTCTAGGCCTCAGCAAACCTGTAGTTCGTGTGCTTACTGTAGTACAAACGGTGCACTGTGCCATTGCACCTATGCTCTAGCGGTGGCGAGTTCCAACAAGCGGTTTATGAAGGAGTTGCCAAGATGAAGATGAGGTAGAATCTATCAACCACTTCCTCTGTCTCTGTCCAGGATTTCATATAAGGCGACTTTAATGTCTCGGAGATGGCTTTTTCACTGACTTGAATGAGATAACGAAAGTAAACTTATCGGATTTCCTCAACTTCAACTGGAAAACCAAATGGTTTAACAAGAATTATAAAGGTTAGCAACTCGCCTCTCCCGGCAACATTTTTTGAGGGCATCACAATGGGCAATATATGCTTGACAATTAGCAGCACGCGCCTTCCAAACCTAACCTAACCTATGCAGAGCTTCGAACTGGAATTTTTTTCGTTTCAGTTTTTGTTTCGGTTCAAAAGAAAAAAAATATATCAGTTTGGTTTCGATTTTTGTTCCTGCAAAAATATCGTTTTTGTTCGGTTTTCGGTTCCGTTCCAGTTCGAAACCCTGATAGAATCAAACTTTTTTCGTTTCGATTTAAAAGAAAAAAATTGTATCGGTTCAGTTCCGGTTTTTATTCTTGCAAAAATATCATTTTTTTTTCGGTTTTCGGTACGGTTCCAGTTCAAAACCCTGGTTTTAACTATCTCTGCAAAAAAAAAACCTATTAATTTGAAAAAAATAAATAGCGAAGTGCTATGTTCGCAGCATAGAGTATCTTCGGCATTACAGTATTGTTATTTTTCGCTATACTCTTCTAGATAAGCACTAATTTTTCACAACAAATTTTGTTTTCGAACATTTAATGTTCAAAACATTCATCATAGAGGTACTATGCTCCACGAGGAAAGAAGGACAGCAGTAAGTAAGTAAGTAATTAGCACAAAATGTTTTAAAATCTGCCTTCAGTGGTAAAACCGAGTCAAAGTCCAATGTAACCACCACTAGCTAAAAGACCACCTAACACACTTCATATCGTATACATAGTGATTTCCATGCGATTTCCCTTGAGCATTTTGCAGTTCAAGGTTCACACAAATTTCAGAAATATCGGAAATTTGATGTACTGAAGAAAACAGGACTTCGAACTGGAACCGAACGGAAAAAAACTGATATTTTTGTCAAAGCTAAAATCGGAACCGAACCGATATATTTTTTTTATTTTGAACAAGAACGAAAGCAGAAACGGAAAAAATTCTGGTTCGAAGCCCCAATAGAAAGGTCTCATGTGATTCGCTTGTCTTAGACATAATTGTTGCTAAAGTCATCCATATAAAATTTTTCCTAATGTTCCTTTGTTAACTCCATAAAAATCGATTTAAAATTATAAAATGCAGAATTCTGTTGAGTTACTGTTCAATTGGGCCACTCTGTTTATTTTTAAATTTTATTCAACTTTTTTAGACATATAATCTTTGCTTCGTATTAATAAAGCCATCACTACCCATACTACTTATCTCTATCCAATGTGTTTAGCAAAACTTACAAAAAAAAATAAAATGGAATACTAACTTCAAAGTATAATATTTCGTGCAATTAAGCTAAACCGCTTAAGATAAATTAAATGAAAAATACATTCAAGATATAAAATATATCTCAGCAATAAGCTGATTAATGCCATTAGCAATTAAGATATGAAATACAACTGATAACTTATCACAAATAAAAGACAGCAATTATGTCCGCAGCTGAATATAAAAATTTGTCTTTTTTTATTCATTTTCAAGCTTCACAACGATAGCAATGACGATGTGCAGCATTCGCTGCAACTGCATGTTGATGCAGTATAAGCCGCGAGTAAGATGCAGCAACTTCCGCATGGGGCGTCGCAGAGCAAGCACAGAGCCTTCACTTGATCAAATTTCTTTCACTTTGCGTAACTTTTAGCTTTTACATATATTTCTTTATTTTATTTTATTTTATTTATTTTTTTTTTTTTCGTTATTATTTAATTTCGGTTTTGATTTAACTACTAACCTGAGCGTTGGAAATTGTGCCTTTAGTGCTGCAATTTGACACCTACTAAAGTGAGTGTCTTTATTGTCAAGCGTCAAGCGTAGTGAGTGCATGGCGGGCGATAACTTTTATTGCAGTGGCGGCTACCGCAGCGCACTGTCACCAGAGCAACGATAGTCATTTGTGCTGGAAGTTAGTCACTAGTGTGACTAGTGACTAGCGACTAGTGACTTGCTTTTGCGGCAGCACGCAACGCCATCGAGACGCAAAAGTATCACTCGCCTCTCAACCTCTCAGTGGCAATGGAGTTGCATAGCGCACTCGATTGAGCCCTCTTGCTACCATGTCCCGCGCTGTGTGCGACGTTGGAGCCATGCTAGCTGCTGTTGCATGTCGTGTCTTCTTGTTTTATGATTATTTTCATTTAAATTGTTAACTACTTAGGGAATAGGGAATATACCTACTCGCGTATTGTATAATTTCAGTTGCTCCGAGCCATTCTTTTTACTCACGCGAGTGTATAATTCGGTTGTATTCGAATTGTTGTATTTTTTCACTTTTCGAGAAGTACCAACTATTCTAACTTATTTCAGACACTAAACGGTGGTAATTGAATTTACGTAGCAAGAGTAGTTGCCGCCTGCTGTGCTAAAGCACATTCTTAGCAATGCATTTGCCGGTGCTGCAATTGCTGCAAATATTGCACATACTTTATCGCCGAGCGTTTGTGTTTCTCAGTGTTTTCCTGCATTTATGCGGAGTGCAGAGTGCGGAATGCGGAGTGCGGAGGCATTGCATGTATGAAGAAACCTCTGCTGGCATATTTTCCGGAATATTTTACGCCACAACAGTGAATGTAGACATACGTTGTCCATTTGTTGACAAATTTTGAAAGCACACTTAATAATGCCATTTATAACATGCATATGTGGAGAAGCTATTACTCTGAATGATATATGCACCATATGATTAATACAGTTATATACGCAGTTTTTATTAACACTAAATATTTAATGAATTTTTTTTTAAAAACTCTTGATTAGTTTCGCAAAACTTTTAATTATCCTATGTTTCATGAAACCAAATACATTTGAAGAGTGTCTCTTTTCGTGTTACTTTTATGAAATATAGTGGTATCGCTCCACGAGCTGGTAATCATCATCATCAATTATGGTTATTAATTGCTAAATGAACTAGATATCATATCCGATGGAATTTAAAGGTTTTGCAAATAGGAGGAAGAGACCGCGAAAGACGTGCTTGAGCGCTGCCCTCTACTTATGAATAAGCCAGCTTCTGCGTAGAGTTTCAGATGGTTGCACAAAATCTGAAATTAAACTATAATTTCGAAAAATTGGACAAATACTACTATTTATTGAAAAGATAGCATTTAATGAATCCCTGTAGATTCAAATAGGAGACATAACTAAACTTTACGCCGTGATACAATATACAATATCGGAGAAAATCGGAATATCATCGTCAATGACAGTCACAACAGAGCCATGAAGTACAACGATATAACAGCTGCCTAAACAGTTTCCTAAAAAAAGTACTTCGCACTTCATTTATATAGGTATTGGATTGTAAAGTTGATCAATGACAATCAGAACAGGAAATGAAGAACGGCTTTTAGTTTCAATGTGACTTATTATACATTACATTTTAAGAAACATTTATTAATTATTAAAGCCAATGTTCAAAGACTATGAAGTATGCAATAATTCTATAAAGAATATGATTAGTACCCAATAAAAGACACACATTCTTTAACTTCATTGATGACTCTATATAGAGAACTTTTCAAAAATTATTGAAATACCCAACTCTATACTCTTGGGTGCTCTGCGTTGGTACAAAACCATGATTGTGCAAGAGTTTTTCAGATAATACTCGGCGAATGTGAACAGTCAAGCATTATTGTGTATAACTTTTTCTGTTCCCGAAGCTAAAATCGACACTTCCACGATAGCGTTTCGAATCGTTTGCCTCCATCAAAGAAATTTTGTTGGAGGAGTAAAAGACGTAAGAAAAATGTATGTGTGGATTAGTGGCCTTACGGTTTATTATTATGTTGAAGCTAGTTGAGTCATTGCACTTGAGCACTTTTACTCTCTATTAACTGAGAGGTTTCTTCAAATCCCCTCGCTACGCCTTATTTAGATTATTGTTTATCACTTCATCAGTTTTAGGCAACTAATTGAAATTTGATTGAATAATGTAGTTTTTTTTTTATTTAATAATTTCATATGTTATACGCATAAAAAAGAAAAACATTATGTGTGAGATATTTCTATATTTAGAAAAGAAAGGTTTTTATAGTTATAAGGATATACATTTTTAGAAAAATATATTCGCATTGTTAAGTAAAAAAGTCACAATAACACCGCAAAAAACTGAACTATATAACAAAATATATCTTTGGTTTTTCACTTATGCACCCGACTTATGTAGGAGAGATTATTAAATCTTTTATATAAAACTATCCTTTTTTTAGGTATTTAGCTCCATTTTTTTGACCAAATAAAGTACGAACATACATCCTAATTGACCTTAAACAGTTGTTACTTTACGTTTACCTTCAATAGTAAAACAAATTCTAAATAAATAATGTTCACTGATGGAGAGATCAAAAATGTACCTATTTTCCCCCTACCAAGAATCAAATTAACTTATGCAAAAAAAAAAAGAAATCCTTGAAAAACACTATAGTAAGTCCCACTTACTAATAGTTGATGTATAAATAAAATGGAATTATTTACATGCATCCCCCATAAAATATGAATCAGTAACCACATCGAATGAGTACACCGACTCCTGTGGCAAAGCCATGTTAAAATAACCTTTTGGTAGCAGTTCTCAACGAGCCGGAAGCAAAACTGTGAACATTAATTTCAGCATAAATAGAAAATTAATTTAACTTAAAATTTACGATGCGACTCAGTTGCTGGAAAATGCAATTTAATTAAAATTTCCGCAAGAGATTGACTTTATTAGCTGTTGGCAATGGCATTAGCGAACCTGCTGCTGCTGCTGCCGCTGCTACTGCTGCTACTGCCACTGTTGCTGATGCTGATGCAGTCATTATTGTTGTTAGCAGGAAAATGAAAAAAGTCCAAGTAATTTACTTTAAATACGAGTAAGTCAGAGTTTAAAATTTTTGATGCGTGCAAAATTCTGTCATTTTTCAGCCATTTTGTGGTGTATTATTTAGCTTACCGCATAGCACAACTTTTGTGTACCTACGAAAAATACATTGTGAGTACGAATATATAGATATCTACAGTTGACTATAGGTTTTAACGTGAAAAATTAATAGGAAAAAACAGCTTAGCGAGATATGTGAACGTACGCTGTATAGACATGGCGTAGGTGGAAACGTGAACCACGGTGGGGATACTTGAGCCCACACATTATTTTGAAATAAAATTTTCATTTACCATACATTTTGACAATGAGTTACTCTATTATAAGGGCAAAAAAAGAAAATTAAAATAAGGGCACAATTTCAATTTCCCAAGTATGAATTATAGTAAAGTCCGCGATTTTATACAATGCTTATAGAGTGTTTTATAACGATATAGTTTATTTCTCATGATATTGAGACTTAAAGTAGCAAGCTTTTTGCATTGATTTTATAACAAAAAAAAAAAACTAATCCCTCCATCTAACGTCAACAAATATAAACAATTGTTACATTACCTAATCCAAAGCTGTCCAGACCAGATGCGATCGCGGGCTAATACAAAGACAAATAGTTGTCTTCGACAAAATAAAAATATGGTTATAATGTTAAATTTAGTGTTATAATATAAATGTGCAACTATTTGGCATAGCATAAAAATAAAATAATGTGATTTTACAAAAGTACACCAAAAGAAAATTTGCGTAATTGTAGTAGATTAAAATCATGTCGCGGACCGCACAAACATTAGCCGCGGGCCACACAAACATTAGCCGCAGGTCACATGTGACCTTGCTTTGAACAACCTTGGTTTAATCGAACAACTGCAATGCACACCAATTAATATATAGTCATCACAAACACAACTACACTTATTTTTATTTTTAGTGTACTTATGTACACTTATCGGTTTTTAAACTATCACTATAAATTTTACTATATAATGCAGTTATCAAAACAATTCAGACCTACGTTGTAAGACTATGAAACTTTTCTTGTACAATAAGGATTGATAAAATGCAAAGACTGCAGAACAAAGTTCTACGATAAGTGACTGGATAAACAGGGTATATTAAAAATAAAAACATTTATGAGGATCCTCATATATCGATCATCCGTTAATTGATATAATAATACAAAGAAAGAAAGAAACTTGATAAAACATCGTGTCCACCCATGCCAGACAACTAATTACTGCCACGAGATTAAGTGGAAACACTTACTATACAATGAAAGTCACTTAGACGAACAACTGGTAATGACTGATAAATAGACGTACTAGAAAGAACTATACAAAAAAATACTTTAATTTTATTATTTAATTATTTTAATTTTTATTTCATTTCAATTCCTTCTACTGTACACAAGTGCTATAGCTTAACCATCTCTGTGTTGAACGATCTCTTAACGGAAACTGTTTTACACAATAGCGCATAGATTTGACCTCAGATAATCACGACGAACTTCCATTACACTATGAGTTCAATTATATTAATTAAATTATATCTTGTGCATACATGGCCCATTGATTCCCCCTAGCTACGGCTCTGCATACAGCCATAAAAACCGCAAGTAAAAAACTGAACCACGCTTGAAACCTTTAAATAACAATTTTTATGCCCGTAGCTTGTTGTTGTTTTTACGTTTATCCTATATTATCCTGCTTTTACGGTATGCTGAAGCTTAAGCAAATTTTTAACTAAATTAAAAATTGTATAATACCCGACTACTATACTACTATACGGTCACATAGCACTTATATATGTGTACACTTGTGCATATGTACATATGTACGTATGTACATTGTTATATTTGTAAAATATACTGTTGCATCTAAGGTTTTTGTACTAATCAGTGAAACTGGACGCATGCACAGTCCACGTGTGAAGTTTCCATACTAACTTTTCCTTTTTTTAACATATTTCTTTCCTTTGAATTTATTCAGTTTCCAGGGAATTTTATATTTAATAAGACCTAAATTTTCTTATTAAATGTATTTTTATATTTTTCAAGAACTTGCACTTAACATTGCTGAAAATGATTAGATTTCAAAAAATGTTCTTCTCATAGTTTCTTGTAATTTATTTGTATCTTTTAGATAAGTATATTTCATTTCAGTTTTAAAGTGTTTTCGCAGAGTTTCGATGCAGAGAAGCACACTTGATTGAAATTGCAAAGTTTCGATGCGGAAAAGTACACTTAATTAAAATAGTAGAAATGTACTTCAACTAAAAGTACAAAACACTTTTACGCTTATTAAAATGTTGATAAAACTTTTGAAAAAGCAAACAGTAAAAGATACATTGTAATTGAAAGTGAAACTGTAATTTATTATTATTTAAGAATTTCGAATATACTAATATATATAATTGGTCTTACCAGGAATTGGTCTTATCTCACTTCAGTAGTCAATTAAAACGTAACGTGCTCCACATACTTCTAATCAGCAACTTCTAACTCAAAATGATATTAGTACTCATCGTATACAGAATTCTCACAATTAAAATGGTTTCCTGGTTAATTAAATTGGAGTTCATCCTGTATACTTATATAATATTACCTACATGTTCCAAATCTAGAAGTTCTAACTAACTCTATTCTAAAACTTCTAACTCAGAATGATATTAATACTCCTTGTACACAGGATTCCCTGAATCAGAGTGACTTTTTAGCTAATTGAATTGGAGCCAATCCTATATACTTATATAATAACTGACCTACTCTAAAACTTCTAACTCAGAATGATATTAATACTGATTGTATACAGGATTCCCTGAATCAGAATGACTTTTTAGCTAATTAAATTGGAGTCAATCCTATATACTTATATAATATAATCTACATGTTGCAAATCTACAAGTTCTAACTGACCCTACTCTAAAACTTCTAACTCAGAATGATATTAATACTAATTGTATTCTTTGATTCTTCAATCAATCAAAATGGCTTTTTGTGGAGTCAAGTGGAGTGGCTAACTGAAGTGGAGTCAATCTGACTAAATTTATAGGAACTAAATAGTAGTACCTATAATAAAATTAATTTTTGATGGATATCGGCTTATAGGATGAGTTAGAGCTTACTTATTTCTACTATATCAAAGCTATATATATCTACTATGTAAATCGTATTCACTGAGATCTGAAGAAGAGACAGTGAATTATCTATTATGTCAATGTTCAGGTTTATCCAACTCTGGGTGCTCCGTTTTTTATCTAATCCATAACATTCACTACATAGAAATCAGCAGAATACTTGCATTGATGAACACGAGCAACTGGTTCTGTAACGCTTCATCTACTCCCCAAAATCAAAATTGCTTTTAATTTAATTAAGTTTAGTTCAATCCTTTTTCAACATTACTTGCCTAACTACCCACATATAGTAAGCAATATAGTAAGCAAAGATATATCACCTGACAATCGAAAGTTAGAGAGAAAATTTAATTAAACTTATGTTATTTGTGAAGAAATTTAAACTAACAAACTGTCTTCATTGAAATATTAAATAAATTGAAATTTTGAGTAGAACCTAAACATTGTTTCACTTAATATACGTATTAAGCACAAGAACCAAGGTGCAGATCCTTGGGTATTTATATTTATTTGCATATGAATGTAATAGGTTTTTGCAATAATACTCGTAACGAAATGTTTATCTAACAAAAAATGTATATTTTATCAAGTGAAAGTATGTACCTATGTGAAGTTATGAGATAACTAAGCATTTGTACAAGAACGCAATATAAGCAATTTTAATTAAAATTAGAAAAAAAGATACAGAGTATAGAAGTGGTTTTTAAACAAATAAAATTGCCTCAACATTTTTTTGGCTTTAGTTATTCAATCAAATGCAGATACTTCAATACCTGAATTAATTTGCAATATGAATTTAATTGAAAATTGTTAAGATGCAGGGAATACTATTGCAGATTAAAGAAATATGCCAATGCATGTGAATTGCAGTGTAGGACTTTTGTTTTCAAAAGAAATAGATATTTATGCTTATGAAAGATAGTTTCCTTTGTATTGTAGTATTCCTTTGTATTGTATATAAAAGATGAATTTGTACGCAGTTGTAGATACTATATGGTAAGCAATATAATGTCATATCCTATAACATTTATTTTAACCAATCTAAATACTCGTATATATTGCAATTACTCATGCTGATGCATATAATAACCATTGAAGTGCACATAAGAAACTCAATGAAGCATTAAAGAATAGATATTCACATTGTAGGCTCACATGTTGCAGGATGCACAACTGGGTCACTTGCAACGTGCAATCTTGTGCAAGCCACAGCGCTGAGCTTGTATTGAAATATTATAAATAAAATTATTTTACAGAAATATCATATAGTCAATATTGCATAAAGAAATTGCATAAATATAAAATAAATTTTTAAAATTCATGCATAAGCAAAAACTTATGTTCGACTAAAAATATATAGTGTATATAAAATAAATATTAATTAAAGACAATTTCGGAAAATAATTCCTGGTCCAAGAAACTGAAACCCAGTCCTAAAACAGACACTGCAAAAAAGTGAACTCGTTTAAGTGAATAGCGCGATACATTTTCAGTATTTCTTTGAAATACATAAAATACAGGATGATAGATAGATATATAGATACTTCTTCATTTCAATAAAGATATATTAACATTATTAAGTATTATGCCTTAAATCTAAAAATATCGATTGAAATTATATAAAAATATATTGAAAAATAAAGAATACGATAATGACTTGATAGTCGTCTGTTGGAGGTGTTGAATTTATATAATTCTACCTTAAAGCCTTCTACCTTAAAATTACTCACAATTCAAAAATAATAATATAAAAAATTCAAATCAATCACTTTTATAATTAATTTACTGTATTTCAAAGCACTAGTAATA